TGAGCAATGCTATCCTGCAATTAGTCTGACAAAAATGTTATTTTTACGTATTTCTCTTTTGTCATTTAAGGATCCTAAACCCCAGCTCTTCCACAACTGTCTTTCAAGGAGGAAAAGAATACTTGCTATGTACTGGAATGTGTCCTTTATATTTGATGTTAACTAACGGGGATGAAATTACTCTTGGCTCTTGATATTACTGAGTGTTCCCTTTGGGGGCTGGATTCCTTCCCAGCAAGTGGTAGTAGCAGCCACCAGCAAAGGTGAGTTTGACATTGCTGCAAACTGTCCCTAAAGCAACCAATGCAACTGTGCCAGCAGTAACTCCCTTTGTTCGGATTATTTATTGAAGGTGAACTCCTTGAGCATACAGAGCACAGAACGTTTTTGTAAGCACAGAAAGACCCCAGAGGTGTGCTGGAGGAAAAGTTCTCAGGCTTAAAACCATGTCAGGCACTGCATCGGCTGCAGGCTGCTACCTCCAACTGCTTTTGGCTCCTTGGTTCCAGGCAAGGGGCAGCTTCCCTGGTTCTGAAAGAGCCTGTCGTTTCCAGTAACTGAGGGAAGAATTACTGTTGTTTATGGTTTAGAAAGCAGGGCGAGAGCACTGGGATACTTGGCCCTCTGTGCCTTTCTATTCCTATCTACAAAGTGTGGGTGACAATATTTTACCTTCTCCAGAGGGACATTTGCAAGCTAATGGACAGAAAGTGCTAAGAACTCCCCACCTGGGCACTTGGGACACCTTGGCGATCTGCCCAATAGCTTTTAGATGTGCCTTACCTAAGCAACAGTGAGTGACAAAGGGCATAAACACTTTAGAGACAAAGTGCTGGCTGCTCCCTGCATAGTGTGTCTGTGGGCAGTGCTGCTTTTGTGTTGGGAGCCTTCTTCTCCCTCTGTTTCAGGTTGCACAGAAGCTGCCTGCCATTCTGCTGGCAGAACTGCTTTTTTAGCCAAATGAGAGGGTTCCTGTGTTTCAGCATCACCATTAACTCAGAGGAGGTTTGGCTAATGAGCCATGGTGCCTGAAGGCCCCTGAAGGCCAACATGCTTCTGCAAGCCCCAGGATGGGACCATACCTGCTACCTCCAGCCTCTTGCCTGAATGCTGACATTTTTTATGGCATTGCCATTATGCTCTCTGCTGGCTCTAGGCACCCAGAGCTCACTCTCTGTCATATCTGTTTCTCTGGATATTTATGCTGTAAGACTGGGAGCAGAATGCAACCCTGAAGGCTTTCAGCAGTGTCAACTTGCCCTCATTGCTAGTGTATGAGAAACCTGCCACACTGTCTCTTCTTTGATATCTTCCCTGGATTTGTGCTGCTGAGAGGCTTCTCTGATCTCTTCCACTAAATGACACAACCTAGAGCGAACTTAGCAGAAAAAGGTCTCTGAGTTTCACAACCAGAGTAATCTTTAGGAAAGGAATAACTTAGATCTTTGATGGTCCAAAAGGCCTGACAGCTGGGACTTGCAGGAGAAACCCAATCGTTCAAATAGTGGAAACGTGAAGAGAAAAGGGTTAGTGTCAATCTTAGGTTAATTGGAAAATATTCAAAGGACTTTGTTTTGCTTAATTTTGAGGTTAGAAGTTCCCTGGCGTTCTATGAAAAGAATGCAATGCTGGCAGCTTCTTTGAAATATGTAGGAGTGAGCTGCAAAGCAAAGAAGTTGTTAGAGGGGTTGTGACCTCCTCCTGGCTGGCTGGACAGCAGGAAAATGAAGATGAGAATATTATGCAATTGCTCTTGCTTCAAGAGCAGTCTGTGTGTAACATAAGTGGATAGGTATGAAGACATCCTTTCAAAAGCAGATCCTCTGTTCATCCTGATACCCAACATCAAAAATGAGGTTTCCTAGCCCCAAGCTCTCTCCGAATGCACACACGGGGAGCACCAGACACGTCAGGTGTGTTGTGACTCCACTGGTCTGTCACAAACACCACTGGCAGCATCGGTGGTAAAGTGTGCATTGCTCTGCAGTAAAAGTCCAGTTTTTTGGATTAATTATATGCCCTTGATAAGGCCACCACTTTTTTGCTTAAACATAAGGTGTTTCAGGGCAGGGAGTGTCTTAGCTTACATTTTGGGAGTATTGTGCAGAATGGGAACCTGCCCATGGTACTGGGGACTCTTGGCACTGCTGGTTGTAACCTGTAGGCATGGGAGGGTGGGGGGACTCACCTGGCAAGTCTGGAGCCTGCAGAGCCAGTTCAGCTCAGGGAGTCACACAGGGAAGCCTCTGGGGCTCCATGAAGTGAGGGGTGGGGCAGGGGGCAATAGAGCAATCACCTTAATAGTCCTTCTCCCTGTGCCTTGTGCCAGTGTAATTCCAGCTGGGCACTCTGCTATACCATCTGCAGTAGAGCAGCACAAGCAGATGGAGACTTGCCATTATAGTGGCTAAGAAGAAGTTTGAGAGCAGCTCTTTAGCCAGGGAAAAGTTGGAGGAGACGATTCACACAGGAGGCAGATTCACTTTCCGAACCTGCTTTTGAAGAAGAGGAAGTTCAGGATTGCCTCAGAAGCATTTCAAGCCTTGGAGAGCCTGAAGTCTGGTAACCATGTTCAGGGCGCAGTGTTTAACCACATACCCAGATTCAAGTGGTGCAGCAATGGATAGAGGGCCCCAAAATAGGAAACAGTGCCTGGGAAATGAGCACACCACCAGCCTGATCAGGACTTTCAGCAGACCTCTTGGAAGAGAGAATCCTGCTGGATTCTTATACAGAGCAGAAGTGTTTCTCAACCCTTTTGGCCTGTGTGCCAGTTCTGCTGATTGAAAAATCACTTCTATTGATTGGAGGATTTTCCTTCTAGCAGTTTAATTACAGAATAAGGAAAGTGTGTGTCAGGCCTCTCTTGGGATTTTGTTTCTTCCCTGTTTTGAAGGCTGAAATGGGCAGTTCTAGTTTGATCAACTCTGTAAGTCATGCAACCAAAACCTGCATGGTTCATCTCCTGCCAGAAGCGGGGACCTCTGTTCTACCCCCAAAATGTACCCAGTCGTGGGCTGCAAACATTCAGGGAAACAATCTGTCACTTCACTTGTCTTGAGCCTTCCCACCCAGCCCCAAGGTAATGATGCAGGTTTTGTTTTCCTCCTGAATTTGTCTGGCTGGTTCAGGCTCCTAGCTCTCACTTTTTGCTCTACATTTTACTGGTGGCTTTAGGTGCATTGCAGTAAAAATACTCTACCTTAGTGAGGAAACCAGACAGTACTTTTAGGCTATCATGGAGCTGTTCATAAACCTTCTCTTTTTGCTCCTGGAGTGCTTAGAAGGCTCTGGGAATAGTCATTACTAGTGTTGTGTAATGGTCACAGTGCACTTCAAGAGTCAACAATATGTTGTAAAAAGGCCAAAAGCCAATACCCGTGTGGACTGGCTCCTTCTGGCCAACAAAAAAAGTAACCTCTGGAGAATTTTAACCTCATACTAGCTGCTATTATCATTGCTTTCTCCTGTGTTGTTGTCAATCAGCTTTCAACTTAGGTCGAAATGCAATTGCAGACAGCAATATAGAAGAGAAAATTCTGGAGGAAAAACCCCAACCTTACACATTATCTATAATTACAGACAGGGCATTGTATTAGCCTGAGTATAATTCTATGTTAATAGGGAGTAGTATCCCTCCTTTAGGAAAGCAACTGATTTAATGGAATCTAGTGGAATAAATTGTCATGCACAGCCAATAAAAGCATAGCTGGATTTTTTAAATGTATTTCAGCTTTGATGTATAGAGGGTTTGAACTTCTAGCTTTGCTACCTGTTTCTTTTGTTAATACTGAAGTAGATGAACTGCTGGCGAAGTCTGGATGATCCAAAACAACACCGTGGGAAGGTGTTCCTACCCTCTGATGGAAGCATAGTCCAGAGGGAATCAAAATCAATGGAAGCTGTAGTTTTGGCCAGAGCTTGGCATGATTCCCTCTAACAAGATGTGTTGAAAACTTCCATTACATAAATGTCCATGACCAGTTTTTCAAAAGATGCAGAAGAGAGACACAAGTCAAAGCCAAGCATGTTTTCTGTGCCTTGGAAATGAATTGCCTCCAGGGAGCCCTCCTAGGAAGTTCAGGCTGTTTACCATATGGAAGTTGCTATGGCCTTATCTTTGTGTTCCTACATCTGTGGTCAGGAACCACTCCAGCTGTACCAGTGCAGCTGTGCTGAGTCGCTCTTTGCCTGAAACCTGGGCGAGGTCAGCTTGTGTTCATCCCTGTGGTGCTGAGCTGGGCAGTGTATGCTCCTCCTGGCCACCATGCCTTGTCTGGTTCCTTGCTAAATGCAAGCTGAGGCTCCTGTGCCTTGGTTTAGCTGGGTATGCACAAAAGCATAAGTGACTATGAAACCTGAAATGTAGTGGGAAGAGGAATGGTTAAGCTAGTGTTCTGGTTTTTCTGGTTACTTTCTCTTGTTTAAATGAAATCTGGATCAGTCTAGATTTGGGTCTGAAGTTTAATATTAGAGTTGCCAAAAGTAGCATACAGGTTTGGATGATGCTCTGGACAAACTTCCAGAGGTCCAAGCATACTTAAAAGACTTATGAATTTGTATTTTTGTTGCCTGAGTCTTTTACAAACTCTTGAACAACCTTCTCCAGAGTATTCAACCTTTCTGAACTTGGAGAACAGCACTAGTCTCCTATGAGCTAAGTGGTGCAGATTGAGGTTCAGCTAATATTTGTTGAAGAGTAGGAGTTCTTTAGAGGCATGAGAGGCTTAGCTAATATTTGCAGAACACTTTGAGGTCTTGGGATAGATACTGTTACCAAAGGGTGAAGTGGTATTCACATGTTCTGTCATGTCTATGTTGTTTACAAATAGAATAGAATGATGTTTTCAAGGTCAGGGACCTTGAGAACAATAGTGGGTTTGAAGCACTCATTTATTTTTACCAAGTTCAGATGCCTGGCATACACTAGCATTTCATTTATATAAAGGATCTGATCAAACATTTTGGTTGTTTAGAGGACTTGTTTTGCTTGTTTTCAGGCTGTTGAAATGTCAGACGGCGAAAACAAGAAAGAGCTCCAGATGGAGCAAATGGAAGAGAAACACGATAGAGATGGTAATGGGGAAGCTTCAGATTCACACTTGATTGGGAGTCCCATGCTTGGGATTGGGAGTCCCCACCCGTGGCTTCCAAACCCACTCTCTGTGCAAGCCCTTGTGCAAAGCAGCACCCCATGAGGACGTTCTTCATTATTATGGTAAGCAAAGCCAGTAATAGTTTGGGTTTTGATTTTTTTTTTTCACTGTTCATTAGTCCATCCATGCTGGGAATTTTCTGGGAGCTGCAATCTCATCTGGAATACTTCGTTTTTATACAGCCAAGAAAATAATAAACATCCTGCTTTAATGATCCCAAATTTGAATTGAGTTTCATGACTTACATTAATAGGGTGAATAAATGCCCAGTAGTTTGATCTCATTCACTGGCATTCACACTGTCATTTGCACCAGCAGATCAATCTGTCTTCCTAACTTCTAGTGAGGATACAGACTAAATCTGTGTTTGAGTAACATTGGAAGATATAATAAATGCTGTAAAACCCCTGGTTATAGATGGAGAAGTAAAAACTGGTAAAAAAATCTATCTAATCAGACAGCTCATTTAGCACAAAAAAATTTGTCTAACTTCCTCTAGTCCACAGCCAGCTTTCTTGAAGACAAAGGGAAGAGTAATTTGTACTGGCAAAGCTAACCCTGATTTAAAATCAGAGTAAACATTTGGCACAAAGTGCAGCTTTTGTTTGTTTACATTTGAAGCTGTGCTAGTCACTGAGGGCTGGAGTTACAGCAAATTCCTAACGTATGCTGCCATTTAATTTGTAATGGTGGTGGTGGCTTATTCCCTAAAGTTTTGGAAGCAGAGTGCAGTACAGGAGACTGAAATTACCTTGCAATTACCAACTGAAACAGCTTCTTTGGTGGTGGTGATTATAATAAGGGAATGTACAGGGATGGCATTAGGATGTGCTTGGTCAATCACTATGTTAATTGTGTCAAACAATTATTTTAAGGACTCAATTCTAAGTGCATTAAACTCTTTCTACCTTCACTGAGACAGAAGCTGCTGAGCACCTTGGGTGGCTGTGTCCTTAGTTTCTGTGCCAGGCTAAGGGATGGGCAGAGAGGCTTTCAGAAAGGAAAAGTGTTATATTGAAAGTCACTAATCTGTGACACTGTGTGAATATAATCTTTAGTTCTGTCTTGGAGACCTCCAAAATATCACCTCAGGAGAGCCATACTCATCAGCAGAGATATTCATAAGCTGCCATCAGTGCCTATCCATGAGCTGCTGTACCCATAAGACAAAGAGAGGAGGAAATAATTATCCCGGAATTTGACAGTTCAGAACATGTGATGTATAGAGGAATGGAGCTAAACTCATGGGATCAGTGCTGCCTAATTAATGTATTTTTGTTGCTGTGCCATAGCTTGTACCGTGCTGTGAGCACACACTCTAACAGGCAAGTTCCCTGTGCCTAGGTTTGGATCTTACCAATTCAGGCTTGCCACATACTCCCAAAAACTAGTCTGGAGCTTTCAGCCACATAATACTCTATGTGAGTCAAACAACAGGAATGTATGAAATCAGACATATATGCACACTCATAACTGAGCTTTCATTTTAGAGGTTAGTATTCAGTTAGTTAAAACCCCAAGTGTAATGATTATGTGGGAAAGTCATTATTTACTGGCTTTGAATCCAGTGGTGGGAGGCAGATCAGAGGTGCTTTCATGAAAAGGTATAGAGAGTAACTTGCAGAACTGAGTCCTACTTGCTGAGTAGAAAAAATATCTGACATTGTTAATTATAGTCCTTTCTGTCTTGTTCCTTTGCTTTGCATTTCTCTGTGGAAGGCAACTTTAGCTCCTCTGAGGAAGACATCAATACAGTCAAATTAGAGCTGTGCAGGAGGAATGTTAGGGAGGGTGGAATAATCTAAAGTGCCCCTCATTCTTGTGTTTAGCTACTGACACAAAGAGACACTAATCTTGAAGCTTGTTGGATTTCTATGTAGAGGAATGTGTGAAGTCTGAGGCCTTCACACACCTTTTATATCTCAGGAGAGACAAGCAGTAGCTCCATGCTTTTTAAACCCTTCAGCTCTGCCTTCTGTGTCAGCTGTCAATAGTAATGCTTCATACAGAATCAGCCAGATTTTCTTTTTTTTTATGTTTTTTTTTTTTTCCTCATTTAACATTGCTCTAAATTAAATGTAGTTACAGGAAACCTACTGAAATAACACACATGCAACAAGGTATCCAAGTAAGGTAGAAACATCCAACAGATGACTGTAATCACCTGTGAGGCTTTCTGTGCTTCCAGCTCAGGGTCTCTTCTAATAACTCAAGATCTTTGAGATTGCTTTGGTAATTTTTAATGCTTTTTTTTGGTGACTGAAATATTGCTTGCTCAGAGCTAATTGATCTTTCCCTGTCATGAAATCTCTGACAGAATGTCAGTGAGGATGTCATGGCTGCCTTGTTGCCATCTGCATGAGACATGTGGAGACGCAGATAATTTTTTTATTTATTTTAGCCAGATATAAGACAGGTGAAGGGTAGCTGAGTAAATTTTTGGCTGCTATGGAGTACAGGATGTAAAGGAAACTAATGTAAATGACTTTCTATGAAGGCACCACCTACACATTTATCATTGAACTGATGACCTGGAAATCAAGCTGAAGCAGTTATATTTTAACTGTATTCTTTTATTGCCAGGTTCACTTTACTATTCTTCTGCAACATTCCATGACTTTAGCCAAGAGTGTTTGACCAAGTGATGGAAGGTCCTTGTTGTCAAGAGTACAGAGAAAATGACTCCAGCTCCCAGGATTTGACAGAGATTCTTGTGGGGTCAGGCTGTGGTGATGGTGTGGGTGATGGGTTGCTGGCAAGAAGCCTTGGCCAGGCTGGGAGAGGTGCAGCAGAGTGGTGCCCATGAGCTTTGTGCACACAGGACAGGAGCCCAAACACCTGGGCTGTGCTGGCCTCAGAGCCAGCGTTGCCTCACATGTAGCTGGTATTTGGCCTAGCTCATCTAGAGGCACGGGTATATTTAGAATGCAGACCTATTTCTAATAATAATCTTTCTGAAGTGATTGCTAGATAAGTCAATTATCTCACTCCTCTTAGAATGGTAACTATTAATTACTTGAGTTATAGGCACAGAGCAAAGATGATCAAAGCAGATGAGGCAATGGGATACTGAGATCCACAGGGTGGTTTAACACTGATGATGTCTGTTCACTGATTCTGAAATTCTTTGAAGATGGGTGATACGTAATGTTTCTAATTGATTATATTAGCAAGAGTGTTATCTGGAGGGTACTTGATGGGGATTCATGATATCTTACCCTGTTTCTTTGTATTTTATTGGCCAACTGAACAAGTTAACCCCTCTTCCTGTACCTTACTTATCCCACTATTAAAATGCAGTTATTCACTCATAAAACTGAGTTAATTATACTGTTCTTTTTGAAAAGTGCCCAGACATATATTGATTACAAATTCTGGATGCAATTTTGAAGTTATTACAACTTCTTCATTTAGGTAATAACATCCAACGTCAGTGAATCTGATTTGTTCAGAGCAGGCAAGGGGAGATGTGAACTTAAATCATTACTGGTTTCACTTTAAAGTTCTCTGCTATTTCTTTAAAGGAAACTATAAAAGTTGATGCCAGAGCTCTCCTTTTTGCTGCAACTTGGTGCTTTTCTGCAGTGCCTATTTCTAGTTAAGAGAATCCTAGCATTTGGCAAATGGCAACTCTTCAGTCTAATAGATGGCACAGCACTCTTGTCTGGGAGCATAAATGTTCTGAACTTAAGAAGCTTTACAGGTGGCACCCTCAATTTAGCAGAGACAAGAATAACATCTATTGCCATTCCTGACAATTCTTACATCCCACAAAGCCATCTGAAAATGTAGAAGTAGATAGTGGAGGATCACATTTAGGTGCTTTGGAAACCCATTGTGTACAAAATAGGTGAATATCAGCCTGAGGTGTTATCTGCCAAATGTCATCTATTGAGGAAAAGCCTTTTTTAATTTTTCTTTTTTCTTACATACTGCTTCCCTTCTTGATATTTTCTGGAAAATATGTCATGTTCCTATTTGTCATCCTAAAGAGGAGATGAAAAGAAGTCCCCTGCCTAATCTTGAGTTAGTGAAGGTAAATGTGTCTGGAAGGAAGGTGACCACTTATACCATAAGAGAATGGAGAGTTGCTGGTGGAGCCAACACCACTGATAGAGAATTGGCATTGAAATACTCACAGGTTATTCAAGGTGCCTGAAGACTGTTGAAAGGAAGAAATACTTTAGGTCAGAATTACTGCAAGGTATCTATTTCTGTCACAAAGTTAGGGCAGTGAATACTTTCCACTGTTATTTGAGATTGGATATGGCCTCAGGACCAACCCATTTTGCAGTTGATTGGCTGCTCAGGCCAAACCCATAACCAAAACTCATTTTCTGCTTTTGTAGGGAGGGACTCTTCACATAAGAAGCATCACCTGATCTTGTTGGAGCAGGTAAAGGCAGATATGAGTAGAAGAGATTGAGTAAATGGCTTTCCCTCTTGGAGAGGCTGGTCTTGCTAAAACAGTTTTAAAATCTTTCAACCCAGCTTTACTACATGATCAGAGAGCTTTCTTTCCAGATGTCATTGAAACACCTTGTTGCTAAATCCCAGGTTGAAGGTGCTGAGTCTGCCTTTTATGTGGTTTTTGCTGCAAAAGGCTAAAACTGATGCTGCATTTCCAAGTGCTGGGTGATGTTCACACAAGCCCTGAGCCTTAGTCAATCCCTTCTCCAAAGAATTTGTGACTGGAACTGTCAGACAAAGTAGGGATGAAGAAGGTCTTTTCACAAAGGCAGTTTTTAGCTGGTATGGGAACACAGGAAGCTGTTCTCAAAAATATTACTATTATCCAGTTGATGTGGACAGCACAGGGAATATATCCAAGTTTCTGCAACAACTGATTTGACCAGTTGGCAAAAGAAAGATATACTGTCAATAGTCTTCTTCCACTTTTGGGAACACAGTATCCTCTGTTCAGTCATCTCTTCAAATATCAGCTTCTCAGGATCTATAAAGTTTTACCAGATACACTCTGAGATGCAGGGAGTTTCTGGCAGAAAATAGGAATCCACATCTGTAGAGTCCTCCAAGACAAGGACTAGTTTTCTTCTCTTGT